ATACAATAGAGTAATATTAGTAGAAAACCTAAGTTACCTCGTTCAGGCCGATGACAATAGTTACGGCCTAATAGGGTGAAGAATTCAACACGTGCACAGAGGAGAATTATCTGATCAATTTATTTTTAGCGGAACAAAAAAGGAAAAGATGCTGAATATGGTTCTGGGAAATAAAGTAGGCCAATGGGAGAACAATTGGACAGCAATGATTAGAATGAAATTTATGTTTAAAGTATGTATGTAAAGGGATAAAAGAAAAGTCAAAGGTGAAAATATCCAACTAGTAAAACACTAATTTCATTATTTTGAGAAAGGATCTAACATGAGTAAACTGGAATCAAAGACTGGTAGGGACAGCATTAATACAACAATAGCAGAGCTTCAATGTAGAGACACTTCAGATGTATGCCACGCAAAATGTTGTATGGGGCAGGCATCCAAAGCTAGAGATACATGACTGATAAAGGAAGTGGAGACTAAAACAAAATATAAAAAGGTTTATAGCAAATGTTAGGTACAGAGTACTGTCAACACTCAGGCAATATAAAGAGTGCAGGAAAGTTGTAGACAGGCAGTTAGTATGGGAAGAGGTTAGCAGATAATGTAAAAGAGGATTGATATTGCTGACAAAGGCAACATTTTGTTGCTCTTATCTAATTACCCTTGAGACGATGGTGCTAAGCTACTGTCTGAAACTGCTTCAAGCAGTTCTATGCACCTGAGTAGCTTGTTGAACTTTTTTGTAGGGCAGTAAAGACTCACCCACATTGCTGTAGATCTGGAGTCTATAAGCCATACTGGGTAGTCACTATGGTTACCATTGCTGATATGTTCAAGCTTTTGGTTTCTAAAACTTTTTTTATTCATTTAAATCAACTTAAATTTTCCAGTGGCTGTGGTGGGATTACTTCAAACCTTTGGATCACTATTTCAGAAACAGAATGCTCATGTACCTGTGAGGAATGCCAGAAGATTGGCAGATTGAAAATATTGCACAACTGTTTGAAAAACAGCAGAGGGATTAACCTGTAAATAAAGACACATTACTCATGTACCATTGATAGGAAAAGTATAAGAAAGCATCATCAAGCACAAACACAAAATTCAAAAGGAATAATCAAGCATAACCGGCTAAATTACTTCTTTCGTGGCATTAGATGAATTTGTCAGAATCAAGTGATGTCTAACCTGATTGTGTACCTGATGAAGTAACAGAGTTGATGATGGAAACCTAGGAAATGTGTGCACATGGACTTTCAAACAGCACTTGTTAATATACTCGTAGGAGATGAAAACATGTGGTATTAAAGGAATGTTAGAAGCTTAAGTCCGCAATTAGCTAAGAAATAGCAGTGCAAGTATGTTGGATTGTTCTGTTGGATGATGTTGGAGCCAATTACTGTTCATATGGACAGGATTAAGCCTTACAAGCATACTCATCCAAACTCAACCCATGACTGCTTTTTAACTGTTTATGTTCTAATGTTTTTGAATAGCCATTATATCAATTTAACTAAAAGACCAGATGACATTTTTCCCCTTTTTAAGGAATTCTTTTTAATTTTTTTAATGTACAGTACACTGGATATACCATGTGGATTATCTAATACATTGTGTACATGGTTATTTGCAGTATACAATAGATGCTGCACATGATATAGATAATTTGCATAATATGTTGGACATATTACGTAAACTATATATACTACTTTCCTTATACTAGACACAATGTCAACATAAGGATATATTTATGCTATGTCTATTTATATTGCGCCATGGATATAGTGTGTGCCGAATGGAATCATATATCCAAATCATGATGAAATGTGACTTGGATTTGATGGTTTAATCCGAGTTTCTTCATTTTAGAATGAGTTTGATTTGGAGTTCCCCTTTTGAGCAGTAGAATGATAGTGAAGAAGGGTTTTTGCAGGTTTCTCACTGATAGTGGATCCATTTGAAGGAAGGAATCAATAATCTTTTCTATTGTCAACTTAGTTTTTTAATTCCAATAGTGGTATCAGTCTGCTAAACAAGACTATTGACAGCACAATTGAGAGTCTCGTTACATTGTGTTTGATGTTTTACAGCCACTGAATACCATCTGGGCTTGTTGAAGGCCAAGCTTGCTAAGTACAGAGCACAGCTCTTGGAGCCCTCAAAGTCTACAGGATCAAAGGGGGAGGGCTTTGATGTGATGAAATCAGGAGATGCCAGGGTAGCATTAATTGGATTCCCTTCTGTGGGTAAGGTAAGAACACATTAACATACCATGTGAGTAGTTTTCATTCTCTTCACGATCATACTAGCCTCTTGATAATTGTGAAGTGTGTAGGATTAGTAAAACAAGCTGGAGTAAATAATGAAAATATACTATTGTTAACATGTCGTATTGTTTTCAAACACATTCAAGACTTTAACCTGCCCATACTCTATATGTTGCTGACTTTTTGTGGTGCGTTTCCTATTTTGGTGTTCAGTTTTTTTTCCTATTGTGTGCAAAGTTTAAACATTACCTCTTGCTCTTAGTATACAATCATGTGTCATGGCCTTAGTTATTAAATCCATTACTTATGACTTCTGCCGCAATAGGAGAACCTGTGCAAGACCCTGTATATAATGTTCATACTTAAGAGTTGTTCCAGGTCTTCTCCTCCTAACCCCATCCCCCACTCCATGAGATAGCCACAGCTACAATTACAGTTTAGTTGTACTTCAAAGTGTTCTCGAAGTTTAGATCCATGTCTCTTTTCTGGCTCTAATTAATAGTACTTCTAGAGTGTCAGAGCCTGAAAACTGTGCTACAAGTAAGAAAATCATCATGGGCAAATCATCCCTGACCCTGTATTTCTTTTTAATACTGCTTTGTTATGGCTCTCCCTGTCTTTGATCATGGCTTCAGTCAATTTTGATAATGCAGCTCCCATTTTCTTCATGCTTTCCATTACTTCCATTGTAAACGAGTTTAGATAGCCTCTTTGAAAACATTAGTCACCAAAACTGCATTGATCTGACATTTCACCTTGAAAGTCCTGCATGAAACTACATATATATATATATATATATATAGTTCTGATTTTTCTTAGTATCATCATCATTTTTGGACCTTAGTGGTACTTGCTGGAGTCCGTGAGGAAGTGCTAATTTTGAGTAGATTTCCAAATAGGTGTTGTCTTAGTCAAGAGACACTACATAATGTTTGCTGTCGTTGATTATGAAATTCAAAATCACAGCAGTAAAGGAAGGCTGCAAATCATCAATAAATGGCTAATATATTTTGGTTTCTATGAAAATATGTTTCAGCTTTTGACGATGCAAACTTAATTGTAGCCAAGAATAAACAAGTTTAATGATATATTGTACACAAGTATTTGTATATCCAGCAACTTGGCATATTTTGTAATGCTGTTCACTCTGCATCAGAATTTTGCGTTGCGACCTCCATCTCAGATGTTTCTCAATGTTATCTGAGTTTCTACCTTTCAGCTAAAGCACAGTATAGAAATCCCACAATTTTCAATGGTTCAAGCAGATATTAAAGCCAAAGGTGATATTAAAGAATTTACAAACTGTTGAGAGGTGTAAAAGGTGCTGTAATAAATATAGATTGCCTGATATATATGGAAAGATCCCCAATCGCCTCAACGTCCAAACAGCACCCAACTCTTAAAGCCACAAAAAATGGGACGACAAGGAGAATGATCAAAACATTTATCAAGTAGGCAAAAATGTTGTTAGTCAACCAATCGTAAATTCAAGCGTTTTTTTGTGATGAGCTTGCATTTTGAATTTTTCTTAAAGTTCAGCAATGTTTGTGTTTCAGTCTACATTCTTGAGTTTGATGACTTCCACTGCAAGTGAAGCAGCTTCATATGAATTCACAACCCTTACCTGTATCCCAGGAGTCATAGAGGTGAGAAGTTCTCTTATCTGGTTCTTAATCTGAATAAACAATACTGGGGTCATAGTGTGTGTCTTGAGACACGATTGTAATTGTTGTTGGTGCTTTGCCCGACCTCTCCTTGGCTTGAGGTGTCTTCGCAGTCGAATCCTAACTCAATAGGGTTTTTTTTTATAGCTTCAAGCCATAGTTATTTGTGGAGCTCAACTTCTTGTGGTTATATCTAAATTGATTTCTAAAGCAGTTCAACAGCTGTAAGTGCCACCTACATATCTTGGAGCACTAATGTACTCCCTGAGATGGTGTGGTACAGTTATGTCGTGTTTTTAATGCTGTTTTTGGTACATCCCTTTTTGGAATATCCCTATATTACAGAGCACTAATGTTGAGGTAATTTGCTCCAAATTACGTATCTGCAGAATAGCAAGAGTTTTCTTCTATTTCTGAATGACATAGATACTGGTTCATGGTGTTTGCAGCTCCCACTGATTTTGTCTTTGAGGGTAAAAATTCAGTGACAGGAGCCTAGTAAGCTTTGTTGATGGAGGATTTAAAACTAGGACTATACCATGCTCTGCCCACTAGTTGTGATGGGAGGAATGCGCTTTAGTCAAGCCCCACCATTCGCAATGTTAGTATAAATGTGTTGATCTAATCACGATTTCATTTTTATACTCCTATCCAGAATAAAAGAGACTTTCACCTGGAATAAGTAGATTGCCTTATGAGGAAAAGCTAAATAGGCTAGGCCTGTATCCTCTGGAGTTTAGATGAATCAGAGGTGACATAATTGAAACACATAAGATTATAAAGGGACTTAACTGGGTGGACATTGAAAGAATGTTTCCTCTTGCGGGAGAATCTAGGACTAGGGGTCATAGGGATTGCTCATTTAAAACAGAGGTGAGAAAACATCTTTTCTTCGAGGGCTGAGATTCTTTGGAAGTCCCTTTCTCAAAAGGCAGCAAATGCAGAATTTTTAAATACTTTAAGGCAGAACTAGATAGATTCTTGTTTTCCAGGGAGATGAAAGATTATAAAGTTGAGGTGAAAATTAGGTCAACTATGATCTTGATGAATGGCGAAGTGCTGAGAGGCCTGCTCTTGCTCCTGGTTTGTACGTTCACCAAGCATCATTAAAAACACAAAATCATCCCATTTATTGTAACACAAGTGGCAAACATTGGTTAACATCTAAGTTGTGATCTGGAAGTAAAACCATATTCTCTTAATCCCAAACACACAAACACAGATGCACACCCAACCATTTGAAAACAAAGGATAGAATGTGATAACTTCAACAGCCATAAACTGATGGAAAATCTTCAGTTTGGATTGAAATTAAGATACACGCATACAATGCAAGAATAGGATTAGGCCATTTCACCATTCCGTTAAATCATGGTTGATTTAATTATAACCTCAAATCCACATTGCCACCTATCCTCAATAACCTCTCACCCCTCACTCAAAACGAATCTCATTTAACTCTGCATTAAAAATATTCAAGGACTCTTCTTGAAAAGATAGTAGAAGCAGAGTTCCAAAGACTACTGACACTCTTAAGGGGAAAAAATGTTGCCTAAATTCTGTCTTAAATGGATGACCCCTGATTTTGAATAGTGAATTCGAGTTCTAGATTCTCCTTTAAGAGGAAACAGCCTCTCCACATCAACCCTGCCAAGACCCCTCAGCATTTCTATGTTTCAGTTGTGTGCAGTAGCATATGCAGGATTCAGTGCTGTGTACCATGCTGTTTGTAGTGTACACTAATGATCTAGCCATAAAAATACGAGGTATGATCGGTGTATCTGCAGATGTGATGAAAATTGATAGTGTGGTAAATAGCAAAGAGGAAAGCCTTAGACTACAGGATAAAGTAGCTAGGCTGGTCAGATGGGCAGAACAATGGCAAACGAAATTTAATGAAAAGTGTGCTGTGATGCATTTTGGGAAGAGTAACAAGGCAAGGGAATACACAATGAATGGACCCTACAAAGTACAGATGATCAGCAGGACCTTGATGTGCATGTCCACATACCCTTAAAGGCAAAAGGATAGGTGGAAAAGATGGCTAAGAATGCATATGGGATATTTGCCTTTATTATTTGAGGCATTGAATACATCAAGGGAGGTTATGATGGAGCCGTATGAGATGTTGATTCGGCCACAGTTTGAGTGAAGTGTGGAGTTCTTGGTTTCCACACTTTAAGAAGAATGTAATTATGCCAGAGAGGATCTAGAGGGAATTCATCAGGATGTTGTCTGGGCTGGAGAGATTCAGCTGTATAGAGAGTTACATAGGCTGGGGTTGTTGTCCTTAGGGCAGAGAATGTTGAGGGAAGACCCAATTGTGGTGTACAAATTTGTGAGGATGTAGATAAGTTCGAATAGAAGAAAACTTTCCCATAGTACAAGGTTCAGTAACCAGGGGCCATAGATTTAAGAGAAAGGGTAAGAGTTTTAGAGATTTAGAATTCGCCTAGAGGGTGATGGGATCTGGAACCCACTGCCTGAAGGGTGTTAGAGGAGGGAATGATTGCACTATTTAAGTATTTAGGTGATCACATAAAGCGCCATAGCATACAAGACTACAGGCCAACAGCTGACACCTTAAATACCTTTTCAAAACCTCAGTACAGTACATCCATCAGTTCCCCATTATTCACAACATGTCTTAGCTCCTCAAAGAACTCCAATAAATTGGATAAACATGATTTGCCTTTCAGAAAACCAAGTTGACTCTGCCTAATTACCTTGAACTTGTCCAAGTGCCATGCTGTAACTCATTAAATAGTTACTAACATTTTCTCTACAACAGATGGCAAGCTAACTGGCCTATTGTTTCCTACTTTCTGTTTCCCCACTTTTTGAATAAAGGAGTTATATTTGTGATTTCTGATCTAAAGGGACCATACAATGGTTATACGATTTGCCAGGTCAGTGGTCTCAGCCAGGGTTCTGTCTAAGTTGCGTGGGCTGCTCTGACATTCTGTGTACAGTGATTGAAGTACTGATGCATTGTTCTGCATTGACTTCCAGTTCAGGAAGTCGCTGCTTGTGCACAGACGACAGGTGTCCACAGAGCGAGGGAGGGACAAAAAAAATGAGAGGGAGCGTTTGTTCCAGCACGGTCCACTTGATTTCCAGCCCACTGGTTTTGGCTGTGATTGTAGTAGCTATCAGATGATATTTATCCATTTTTGTTTATACTGTCAGTTCATCTGTTTTGTTTTGAACGCCACGTCCATTCAGGTACTGAACCTTTACTTTTATTTTTTCAGCTGTTTGTAAATTCTAGTCTTATCTGTTAGTTGACTCTTAGACTCATACTTTCTATCCCTTCCTGTCATGGTCTGTTTAACCTTTCCAGTACTGATAGCTTTCCCTTCGCACCTGATTCTACTCTTTGATTTACCATATCTTGCCAATTTGATCCCTTGCCCCACTATTCAGTTTAAAATTCTCTCTGCTTCCATAGCTACGCACTTGGCGAGAACACCTGCCTGAGTACAGTTCAGGTAGAGACCTTCCATCAGTACAGATCAAACGGAACTGACTTGACCATGAGCCAAGCATTCAACCTTCTAATCTGATTTACCCTGTGCCAATTTGTCATTTGAGACGCTGCCTCTAAATTTGGTACCTAGCTCCTCTGTGCAGAATCTTCTTCTTTTGTCCTTCCTCTGTCATTGTTACCTACATAGACCATGACAACTGGATCCTCCCATTGTCATTCCAAGTTCCTGACCAGCCCTGTGCAGATGTCCCGATCCCTGACACCAGAGACAACACATCCATATGGACTTTCAGTCTTGGCTGCAGAGAACCTAACCCATTCCCTCATCCACAGCACTCCTTCTTTTTCCCCCTTCTTTGGCTTTTGTGCCATGTTAAGTTAGCTTGATTGCCCTGCAGCCCTTGTTCTCATCCAGAAAAGTTGGAAAAAACTGAAATCTGTTGGACATTTGCTAATGTTCAGGCTCCTATGCTGTTTTCCTTTGGATCCTTTACCTGCCTCCCTCACAGTCTCACACACCTGTCCCTGAGTACTTTCCAGATCAGATGATCTAACCTGAAGAGGATTAACTGGTATAAAGACTCCAGGTAACTTTTCCCCCCCCGATGAATCACAATGCCTGTGGTTCAAACTCCAGCTTATAAAGTCTGAGCTAGATTTCCTTGAACTTCAAACACTTGCTATAGACGTGTTTGCTGTGGATCAGACTGGTATCCAGGAACTCCCATGTGCTGCAACTGTGAACATTTCGTCTCTTGCTATCCTTAATATATTCGAAGGAACTATTCAATTATTGTGAGGAAGGGTCACCGGACCCCAAATGTTAACTCTGATATTTTTCTTCACAGATGCTGCTGAGCTTTTTCAGCAACTTCTGTTTTTGTTCCTGATTTACAGCATCCGCAGTTCTTTCAATTTTTATTCAATTATTGTACTTAACGTTATATTTAGTTATATTTTTATACATTTTATTAACCTTACTACCAGCTGTTATCTAATTCTAAACCATAGGAGTAGATTAAACCTTAATCATTTACCAGATACCAATGATCCAACTTCTTCTCCTGTAACTGAATGAGAATCCAATCCTGGAGGCTGAAAAAGTTTAGTTCTCTGCTGCTTCACTCAACTCCGGCATTTTAAAAGGTCAAATTATCTGACCAATGTTTTCCAGACATTCAGGGAAATAAATAGGGCAGAGAGAGAAAAACTATTTCTGCTTTTGGAGATTCTTAAGAGAAGGAGGCACAGTCTTAAAAGCTAGAGCCAGAACTTTTTAAGGAGTGAAAATAAGAAACTTCTCATGTACAAAATTGTAGACATTTGGAACTCTTTCACAAGTGTTGATTGATATACAATCAGTTGATTTTAAATCTTAGGATAACGTATAAAAACATAAATCTAAGATATTGCAGAATATGGGGCATGTGCAAGTATTATATCTTGTTTGGCCATACAACATGGTCTTGTTAAATTGGCTCAATGGGATAAATTACTTGCTCCTGTTTTTGTGCTCATAACATGGTGACAGCATGGGCTTCTGTCCTTTACCCATTGTGCCAATTTGAATCTTCACGCGATATAAGCAGATTAGAGAATTTAAGAAAATGTTCTTACTGTTTTGGTTGAGTTCAATCAAGAAGGAGGATTTATGGTCATCTGTACTGTCGAGTTTCATTACTCTATATCACACAAAATAGGGCGAAGGTTTACAGTTAATTTCTTGATTTCATCCATATTGAAAGAAAGATGGAAATTAGGAACTTTCTTATCAGTGGGAGAGGAGATTGGAAAGAGACAACCCAAACTGTTGATGTACATCTGTTATAGTTAGCTTCTAGTTGTGAATCAAAAAAATTTCCATACATTAAATAGGACAGGAAATTTTTAACTTTAAACTATGAGCCAGAAAATATAACTCTAAAACAATTCTGAGCAGGTTTTTAATTGTTAAAAAAAATGAGATAACTTAATTATTTTGTTTTATAATGCAGCATAAAGGAGCTAACATTCAGCTTTTGGATCTGCCGGGTATCATTGAAGGAGCAGCACAAGGTCTGTATATATCTTTGTTGAGTTGGAATTACTTGGATTGGTTTAGGTGTACGGATGCCCCTGGCATGGGAAAAATGTGCTCAGAGTCCTAGACTCAGTTTTTCCCTTTGTCTTTCTTTGGTTTGAAGGAGAGGCTGTGGGAATGATGGAACGCTGAGTCCTTTTGCACATGAACGGTATGGCTTTTGTAGCAATTTAATTAAATGAGGTATCCATAGAAATGTCTGGTCAAACTTTCTTGTCCTCATCTCTGGAAATATTGATAATGTGGGTGCGTGAGGCTGTACATTTCATAACTAAGAACCAAGATTCTACTTTTTAAAAGTACTTTGTTTTCTATAAATCACTTTGGGGACTTTTATAAATACTTCTTGACAAACTTACAGTACAGCAACTCTTTCAAATTTCAGGAAATACAACGATGATTAAGTTGTTTTTGAAATCTGATTTGGAATGGTCGATTGATAAAATACTATTTCATAATTCCTTGCAGGTAAGGGTCGTGGTCGACAGGTGATTGCAGTTGCTCGAACAGCAGATGTTGTAATAATGATGCTGGATGCAACAAAGGGTGATGTGCAGAGGTGTGTAACCAGAAATGTGCACGTGTGTATATATACAGGCAACAAATATGTCAGCGAACGTTGTTTTGAGAAGAACACAAATAACCTGGAAATATAGCATATTGATAGAATGTGAAAAGTGAAAACATAGATTAAAGGTTTAGATATGGAGTGCAGTTGAAGGATCTTGACTGCTGTTCTGATTTGATTTTTAAATAATTCAGTACAATTAGAAATTCAACTTTGGGAACAATTATCTGTATGACATCAAATGATTCCTTTGCTTAGTACCTAATTTTCTTTATCTTAAATTATATCAGCTATATTATTACACTTTTTGAACAACATGCTGTAGTTGATTAAAAGTATATATTTTTACAGTCTGTTTGGACATTTTATGACACACTTCTGTGGTAAATGGGACTTTAATATGGATCTTTTGGCCCAGAAGTGGTGGTACTACCACAAGACTCCTTTTTACTATACAGTAGTAATATTTTGTTGTGAAGTTACTCCAACTCAATTGCTAATACCAGCTTGGTAATTTAGCAAAGTTTGAGCTCATGCTGATCCATAGTTGATTAAAATGAATCTGCGAGCTCTTGTGGTAATGTCCCTGCCTCTGAGCCAGCATAGCTGGGTTCAAATCCCACCTCCTTCAGAAGTCATAGAGTCATGTGTGTCATAATATGTGTGAACAGATTGTTTAAAGATATTTGAAAGGAATCAACAGCTGGAAGCTGTTACCCTATCATCTACCTGCAGTGCAGCAGTGACTACCTTTCAAAAATAATTTAGGGCATCCTCAAGTTTTAGACAGCACCATAAAACAGCATTTCTTCCTCAGCTGGTAAAAAAGGAGGGATCTTGTGTTTACTACTATGTTAGTTGTTCAGAATTCGATTGGTTTATTTCTGATGCATGAGTTATACTTCCTTTGAACTGTTTCAATAGATTAATGAATAAACTGAAACTGGACTTTCTTTCATTCATCTAGAAATTTACTGGAAAAGGAGTTGGAGTCTGTAGGAATCCGATTAAACAAGCCTAAACCCAATATTTACTTCAAGGTGAGGGCTGGAGTTTTTTTTTCTGCAGTTGAATGACAGTTGGTGAATTCAGACTACTCAGCTTGACTGTTTAGCCTGGAGGACTTTCCTTTCCATACTCCACATCTGGTTCTCTTGTTTTGCTGTCAGCACAGCTGACTGATACTCTGCTATTAACAGAATCTGCTAATTACGCCTACTTTGGACCTGTCTTTTGATAACTGTTACCACTCCCTTTGCCTTTTTTCTGTGATGCCTATGATATCTAATCTCACTCACCCTTTAACTTTAGCCGAACCTTCTTTTCTGTTTCACATGCTCTTCCCCACCTTTTTCTATAATATTAAACACATCATTTTCCATCTCTCCATCTCTCCCTTCAGTTCCAATGAAGGGTATTAATAGACTTGAAATTTTAATTCTGTTTCTCTCTTCACAGCTTCGGCAGACCTGCTAAGTTTCTCCAGTGTGATGCTTTTATTTTAAGTTTTTGCCTTCTGCAGAATTTTGATTTTGTTTTAAAGTTGAATTCACTGTCAACTTTTATTTATGGAGCTTTGAATAATTTCTCCTCTTCTCTCAGATGGGATTTCTATTTGTCCGTTTCATCTTGTTTAATCTTATTGCTTTCCATTTCACTTATGGTATTTGATGAAGTGATATTGAAAACTCACTTTCACAGAGGAAGGAGATACTGCTGTGACTGTCTCCAGCTCTGACTTGCCCCATATTCCAACTGAAGTTGTTTTGAATCTATCCAGGGTTGCAGGTAGCTTCAAGACATTCAATGACCCCTGAACTGTTGCTCTTGCCACAGCCTGAGATCCATGTTCAGTGCCAAAAGCTGCCACATACATGTACTTGACCTCTCGCACCAACGGAACAAAATCACCCTGACTCAAAATTGTCCTGGTCACCAGTTCCATTTCTTTATTCATCTCATTTGATTCTTCAACAAGAAAATGTTTTTTCCTTTCTTTCAGGTGTTAAGGCACATGTTTCTCTGACACCATCCCTTCCTCTAATTCCACCTTTTATGTATTCTCCAGACCACCTGACCCTTCTTTCTCCATTGAACAATCTGAGCCCAGAAAAGGACTCAGCTTTATCCCGTTGCACTCCCACCTCAATGAATTTCAGTCACAATACAATTTCGAACTCTTATTTTGTCATCTTTGTTTCCATGCCCATCTCTTTTGGGTTGGGAGTCCTGTCCCCACTTCACAGACCCTTTCACCAGTCTCCAATATACTCCTTTCACCTTCTTTTCATTCCAGAAATGTTGGCTAACAGCGGTCGCCTCAGTTTCTCTGTTCTCACTCTAACCTGTGTTTCTCTGAACTTGCGCACTCTGTTCTGTCAGATCTAATCCTGACTTTAGTTATCACGTCTAACCATAAAGGTAGCACCGCTATCCTTGCACTGACCTCTAACTTATAGAAGTCTGAGCGCCAACTCTCGCACTCGTCTTCCTGTTTCCCCAGGATCAGAACTCCACCGTTGAACATAAAGCCCTCATCACCTCCAGAGGTTTTCCCTCCATAAATTCACATCAGTATAATTCCCCAACCTCATGCTGCACATCTTCTTCCCAAAATCTGTTAATATAACATCCAGCATTTCAGTTTGCACTTACTATGCTGAGTTGTTTTTCCAAATTTGACTCAATTTTTTTTTGTCTCCCCTTATCCAGGCTTTCTCCACACACATTCAGAGCTGTCAGAAGAGTCATATGGGTCTCAAAGCATTAACTATGTTTCTCTCTCCACAGATGCTATCAGACTTGATGAGTTTCTCCAGCAATTTCTATTCATTTCAGGTTTCCAGCATCTGCAGTATTTTGCCTTTATATGAGGGGCGCTTTGCTTTGGGGTCCAATAGGCTCAGGAGAATGGTGAATGGGGACTTTCTGAGCTTGTTCTCTAATTGAATAATTTCTCCTTAAACTTGACTCATTTGTTTGAAATGAAAGGTGTGACCATGGGTACTAGTTATTTACACCTGTTTTTTTTTTTTGCTGGGTATGTGGAACATGCCTTGTTTCAGTCCTGCTTGAGCCCCTTCCCAACGGTTTTGCCAGTACATCAATGCCTTTATTGATACTACTTCTTTTCTTCCCCTGGAACCAGAAAAGAAAATCCATTTTGCTTTCAATTTCCACCCTTTTCTGTCCTCACCTGGTCATCTCTGAGTCTTCCTTAACTTATTTGTCTCAATTTCTGGAAATACACCATCTGTTGATATTCATTACAAACCCACTAACTCCCACAGCTACCTCAAATGCACTTCCTCACACATTACTCGCTGTGAGGATTCCATTTCATTTTCTGACTTTCTCCATTTTTATTACATCTGTTCTGACTATGCTACATTCCACAACAGTGCTTCAAACATGCCATTTTTTGTTCTTCCTCTCTCCCTCTCCTGCCACCACGCACCCCCCCACCCCCAACCACTGCCAAAGAGAAAAGCTGTAGAGGGAAGGGTTCTGCACTATGTCTAACCTATTACTTGCTTCCGTGCTCACTTCTGCCACTCCATCGAGTACAATGTTTGGGCACCCCTTATTCTCACTTTCCATTTCACCAGCTTCCATATTCATAGGATAATCTTCTGGCCATGTCTTTCACCTCCAGCATGATGCCACCTGTAAACACATCTTCCCTTGTCCTTCTTTGTCAGCATTCCAAAGGGACTGTTTCATTTATTACACCCTGGTCCAATCCTCTATCATTCTCAACACCATGGCACCTTACCATGCAATTGCAGACAGTGTTTTACTTCCCGTTTTACCTCCTCACTGTCCAAGATCCCAAACATTCTTTCCAGGTGAAACAGCAAGTTAATTTTACTTTATTCCATCTGGTCTTCTGTATTCGCTGCTCACGCTGTGGTCTCCTCTATGTTGGGAAGACAAAATGCAGACTGGGTGATGACTTTGTAGAACCCCTTTTGCTCAATCTGCAAGCATGACGCAAACATCTGGTTGCTTGCCATTTTAATGTACCAACTTGCTGTCATGCTCACCTTTCTGTCCTTCATTCACAGTGCTTCACTGAAGCCCAATGTAATCTGGAGGAATGTACCTCATTTCTGTTTCAGCACTTTAAAGCCTTCTGGACTCAACATTGTGTTAAACAACATAAGGACATGAGCCTTTTCCTCTGTTTTGTCCCACATACTTCCAAATTGCTTTTTTTTAAACTTTGGTTTTGCTTTCAGCAGATCTGACATATATTTCTGCTTTTAATGCTCACGCAAACACCTACTCTGGACCTAGTTCTCTACAGCCATTACTAGCTCATTACACTTCCCTTATGTAAGCATTAATGAGACCAAATCTGTGATATTATGTGCAGTTATGATCCTGTGACAGAAGGAAGGATGTAAATGCTTAGGAGACAGTTCGGAGGGAGTTTACTAGATTAATAAACTAGAATGAATGGGTTGTTTTATGAGTATAGGTTAGTTGGGTGAGGCCTTTTTCCACTGGAGTTGAGAGTTGACTTGAAGTGTAAAAGATCCCAAATGGTCTTGACAAGAATGACATGGAAAGGATATTTATTTATGGTGGAACTAGGGTGTACTAATTTAAAATTAGGAGTTAAAGTTTTAGGACATAAATTAGAAGAATTTTTTTTTAAGAGGGTTCTGCAACTTTGAGCTCCCAGTCTTGGAAAGCAGTGAATGCAGGGTCATTGAATATTTTTAAGAAAGAGATTGACAGACTCTTACAGGCAGGGCTATCAAGAGTTGATTGGTATGTGGAATTTGAAACACACAGATCAGCTGTGATCTTATTTAATGGCAGAGCAGGCTCAAGGGTCCAAAAGTCTTCTGTTCCTATTTCATATGTTTGTAGTACTACCTCTGTCTTTTGTTCTACAACATTTATGATCTCTAATCTCACTCACCCTCAAACCTTTCCCTGACCTTCCCTTCTGTTTCTCTTGCTCCTCCCCAGCCTTTCCTACATTATAAAACCTAGCACATTTCCATGTCTCCCTTCAGTTCTGATGAAGAATCATATATTAGACTCAAAACATCAATTCTGTTTCTCACTCCTCAAATGCTGCCGGTTCCGTTGAATTTCTCCAGCATTTTTGCTCTTTTACTAATTCCCAGCATCTGCAGTATTTTACTATTGTAATCAGGCCAAATGTTTAATTTTAAATCCTGTACATGATTCCTATCCTTTGCTTGTTTTGTTTTCAGGGTTGCTAATGTTATTCTCATTTATGGGTAAAATCTAGGTTATTTCTGTGGACAGTCTGTTTTCTTTTTTTGTGACGTGTTTTTGGTTGATCTACTGTGCTAAATGTGCAGTTTCAATACGTTCTTTTTTGCATCTAAACCTGAAGAACGGGAATTTTCGTAGCTAGCGTATCATGTCTGTCATGAATATCTTTTGTTACAGGTAAAGTGCTAGAATGACAGGTGTACAAGAGGTTGAGTTTAAGGTATTTATAGGCCTGATCTGGAGATGAGAGTACCTTTGGAGGAAAGAGGTTAAGCTTCAGCAGATTCCCTTCTACATATCTGGTTGAAATTGGAACTGATCCATAATGTAAAATTTAAGTACAGTCTGCATGACCCACAATTATCCTTTTATGTTTTATAGAATAACACATGCTGTGCATTGTGTTTGGCTCTTGTATTCACTGAAATCCTCACCAAGTTGGTATTACTGCTGACAAAGAAGAACTTATCCCAACATAAAAGAATTTCCATTGACAAAATATAGTCAGTGCATACAAGTATAATGAGGATTAAATGGAAACTAGACTATGTAACCAAGTGGTTGAGAAGCTTGATATTAGCTGTGTATTCTGGACAATGTTTTGAATTTATAGAGTGTCTTTGTTTGTGGCTGTTTACATTATTGAAAAAGGACTAAAGCTATTTTACCTTCCACCGCAAAAACCTTATCCATGCTGTTGTCAATTCTGGATGTGATTTCTCCAACAGCCTTCCCTTTCACCCTCAAGTGCCGAAGCTTCACTGCTGACTTCATGTCCATTTCGCATTGGTTTCTTGTTCCCAATGCATTGAATTTAAAATACTGCGTTTCCTCACTCAACTTTCTCTCGTCTTTTTTATTACTTTCCATGCCATCTGCATTCTGACTTGAGCTTTATGTGTGTGCTACCCTTCCTCCCGTCTAATCCTGGTGGTAAAGGTTTTAGCTATTTCATGCCACCTGTCTGAAACACTAACTCAAAACCAGTCCACCTCTCAATTCCTTTCTGTGTTCCAAAAATGAAATCAAACATTTTGGGCACCTCTCCTAATTTTTCCCCAAGATTTGACAGCACTGTTTCAAGTATGGACTTTATCCCTTCATTTCAAGAAGCACCGATCTAAGTGTGAGAGAGTACTCCTGTAAGTGGATCAATGATCATCACCGTTATTATGCCATTCTGCATTTGGTTACAGGAATTGTGATTGGCTATCTCTGTTGTAGGGATTCCAGTGTTTTGAAAAAGCTGAAGGTTGGACACTTGTGTTAGCCCTTAAATATACACAGGTCAAACTTCCCCATAAGCACGAAAGAAATTAGTCCATACATACACAATTCAAGTCTTTTCCCACTCATCCCCATTCCACTGGCTTTTTTTTTCTCATCAGTCCTCCTTTCCTGAAATATTATATTGTGAAGCTTCAGCATGAAGATTAGTCATCAGAACTGCTTCCTGATTAGTCTGTAGCCACCAATGAGGGAGCAATCTTGTTGCATTGTCCAGGCTCAGGAGGTTCAGAAATCCATCTAACCCAGCTGCAATTTCCTACTAGTATACAAAACCAGTATCAACTCTGTTCAGTTCCATTTGGAGAAAATAGCAACTTGCTGTCTGGAGTAACAATGATGTTTTTGTTGGAAACGTTCATTCTAACAATTTGCGTTCTTAACCTTGACTAAAATATGTAATTCATTGTAATTTTTTCAATTGTTTTGTATTTTCAGGTTATGTTTGTAAACTTTTATATTTGACTTTATTTCTTTTCAGCCAAAGAAAGGCGGTGGGATCTCTTTCAACTCAACAGTTACATTGACTCAATGTTCTGAAAAATTAGTACAACTCATCTTGCATGAATACAGTATCCTTTGGCCTACAGAGAGAAATGCAGAAATCTGGTGTTTCATAGGAAAGATTTTCCTTGAAGATTCTCATCTGTGATTGTGAAGGAATGCCTTCTTGTTTAAGCAGCCATATCATACTGACCATTTGATATAAAAGAAAGTAGCAAAGCACTTAACAGATCCAAAGGAAAACAATGGGCGCCAAATCAAAAGAAGAAAATATTACCAGTGTGGCATGAAGTTTATTCAAAGAACTGTGTTTTCAGGGGGATCTTGAAAAAAGATGGCGTTTTTTGAGGGTGGGATTTTAATGAGTTGGAGGCACAACTGTAAGTATTGAATACCATAAAAAGGGGATGCTCGAGATGGAAGGTAGGGACAGATGTGTTTGTAGTGTTGACATAGAGGTGTGTGTGGTAGGTCCTGGTACAGGTTTAAAACTTTACATTTTCTGCCAGTGTTGCTGCCCATGTTCTTGTTTGGAAAGACTTGTATTTATATAGTGGCACTTTATCCAGACTTTCAAAAGCCTCTTGCAGTCAAAAAAGTATTCTGTGAGGTATCGTCTTTTAAGTAGAAAATATGGCCATCAATTTGCACACAGCAGGATCCCGAGGGCTATGTTGAACTAACTGAATAGATGATCTGTTGATGGAAAGATAAATATTAGTTCATGGATACTGAAGGACTGCTCAGCTCTGCTTTAAACGGTGCTTTTGGATTCTCTACATCCACCTGAGAGAGTATATGGGATCTCTGCTTAATATTTCATCCAAACCACACTGTCTGTCAATTTTAGAATTCCCTCAGTGCCACACTAGCATGCTAGCAGAGACTATGCTTAAAATACTGGAGTAGGACTTGAAGCCAGAATCTTCAGACTTAGCATCATCGCTTGTACTAGTCAGGTATTTTCACGAAAATTAGTTATTGGGAATAAAGATTCTTCTATTCGATCAGCCTAGCATTCAAACATTCTTTGTATCTCTTTACACTCCTTGAAAATGAAGAACAAATTAATTTGGTAGTCCAATGATTGATTCACTAGTTTATAATTTTATTCATCAAACCTTACCCACCACACTTCACTTGCCTCAGTGAGTCCAGTTCCAACAGCTTTCCACTCAACACCATCTAGCACCTTGAACCCCACGTCACTCAATCCACCATCTTAAACATTTGGTCCATTTACTGTGCCTGCAGCATGTACCATTTGCAAGATGTTCGGTGGTGACTTGCCAAGGCTTCTTCAAGAACACCACCCAATCCTGCAACCTGTACCACCTGAAGAACATGAGCAGCAGAAGTATTGCAATACCACACCTACAAATTGCATCCATCTTGGACTTGGAAATATATCACTGTTCCTTCATTATTGGTCATTTAAAGTCCAAACGGCACCAGGATCACGGGAGGGGGTGGTGGCACGGTGGCTTAGTGGTTAGCACTGCTGCCTCACAGCACCAGGGACCCATGTTCAATTCCACCCTCTGCTGACTATCAGTGTGGGGTTTGCATGTTATCCCTGTGTCTGCATGGGTTTCCACCAGTGCTCTGGTTTCCTCTCGCAGTCCAAAGATGTGCAGTTTAGTGGATTGGACATGCTAAATTAGCCATAGTGTTCAGGGATGTGTAGGTTGGATGTGTTAGCCATGGTAAATGCAGGGTTACAGGAATAGGGTAGGAGGATTGGTCTGGGTGGGAATGCTGTTCAGAGGGTCAGTGTGGACTTGTTGGGCCAAATGGCCTGTTTCACACTCTAGGGATTCTATGGAAACTTCAGTAGTTCCACTGCAACAACTCACCAAGGCTCCTTCGACAGCATCTTCCAAAAGTGATCCCTACAATCTAGAAGGGCAAGTAAACTGCAAGCTCCCACCAAGCTACACACCATCCTGATTTGGAACAATTAGGCCATTGCTTCATTACAGCTGGGTTGAAATCCTGGAACACTCTTCCTAACAGCACTGTTAGTGTATCTACCCCCATGGACTTAAAGTTCATGAAAGCAGAAAGTCACCTTCTGAAGGGAATCTAGGGAGTTATAAATGCTGATGTGGTCAGTGACATCTACATCATATGTAAGCAAAAAAAAGATGCATGGTGTTTTAAATGGTAATTTAGCACTATGTCCTTGGGCATCTTTGTATGGGAAATTAAGGTTAGCACTGCCAATGATGCTAAGAATCTATGATCTCAGGTCCATGCACCAAACTTTTCTAGCGTCTTGATATTTCAAAAAAAAATTCTTTTTTTCTGTTTTTCCTTCCAAAGTTGGTAACTTCATGCTCCCCAACATTATATTTCTTCTGACGTGTTTCTGCCTAGTTATTTAATCTATTAATGTAACTTTGCAGCCTGTTTCCTTTCTTAATGACATATTTTTCTATCTAAGTTTCTACTGCCAACAAACTTGGATACATTGGTAATTGATATAGGTAATACAGAGCTCAGTCCCAAACCCTCATCCTTGCAGTACTACTCCCTCCGCCCAATTTGTCGCCACCTGGTAACCTAAAATATTTATTCTTGTTCTGTTTTCTTTCCATTCACCAATTCTCAATCCCTGCTAATATGCACACCTAATCCAATGACATTTTTTTTTGTAATAACCTCAAGTGTGGCATCTAATTGAATGATATTTGAAAATCCAAATACATTTAAATTCTGTGGTTACCTCCTTATTTACTGAGCTAATTTCAGTCTGTAGGCATTAGACCTCCGGGCAGATTAGCTTCCTATTTCCAGGCTCGCCAGAAGATTGCCTCATGGTGACCACGATAGACAATTTTTATGCATTTAAAAAGAATCATTTTTAATCTACTGCTTATCCTGTTTTCCAGCCGTAATTGGCTAAGCAGCAATTAAATATTGTTTTAATTGTAGCCTTAATTAGAAAAATTAAGCTTATTTTTTGATCCTTAATATTTCCAATCTAGAAATCTTTAATGCTGAAGTTCTCTTCAGGGAAGATGCATCTCCTGACCAATTTATAGATGTGGTAGTTGGAAACCGTGTCCACATGCCTTGTCTTTATGTAAGTTAGACTAAACAACCTTTAGGTGTCCAAATTTTGACCCTGTTTAAGCAGTTTATTTTTTACATTTTAGCAACTAATATGTACTAAAAGAAATGTGAAAACAAAGATTCTTTTTAAGAATGAAAGTTCTCCAATATCTCTGCAAAAGATTAATTTTACCATAAAGAGATAGAGAGCATAGGCCGAATATTTTCCTGTACAAATAATGAGGCCAAGCCTTTCACACTGCAGTTGCAGGACCTTGGGCCATTATAGGACATCTCCCCTGAAGCAACTATAAACAAATAAATAACATAGGGAAAGCAAAATACGGAGACCGCCATGTCTCGGGAGATGCCTAGATTAAGTATCCCAATGCATTTTAAAAACTGCTTTGGAGTATGTATTCATGAAGAAATGGTATAAACTGCTCAATTTGTTTAAATATTAGAATCTATGCTACTCTTTGAATTGTTTACATTAAGGTTCTTTGTAACCGAGGTGCTTTAAAATTGATCAAAAACAATATTTTAAAAAGTAAAATGCATTTGTAAATGATGAGTCAATTGAGAAGCATCAGATTATGAGCACATATTTGCAAAAAATCAATAATAGTAAACTTCATACTGTACATTAAAGGTGTTCTGCAACATTTTCATAATGTGTTGCTCTTCTGCTGAGCTTTATTGTTCTGTTGAATTTGAGCAGTATATGTTCTGCTATGTTCATTGTGACAACCTTAATATGACCTCAAGCTCCCGCTCACTATCTAGGATTTCTGATAAAAGATTTATATCTATAAATATTGGGTGAAGACAAGATTGAGCTCCGCTGTGATGATATCTATGGCAACTATCTTGCCATCATACTGACAGAATGAGGTATAGGGAGTTTTTAATATTTGGGGATCTGTGTGCCAACAGTTGTTTATTAGAGGCAGCAAGGAACAGCAAAATTACTCTGGGGAAAATGAGAGTATTATGTTGATGAGAGAAGATTTTGTTAAGATGCTTTGTTTATCCAAATCTACTTTAGTAATCAAAATAGTGTTAATGCAGATTTTATTGAAATTTCATGAATGCTTATTCCCAATCAGTCTGAGTTAATGGAATCTTTGTGCAGTTACTGAGTTGATAACTTGCTGTACTGAATAAATGCAATTTCTGTGCAGTTCACAAAATGCCAGCTCAAGAAACACAAAACTTCAAGCCTATATGTAACAAGTGCTGTGATTTACTGTGAATGCTTAATGTTTTTTATAGTTTTCAATCATAATGTTTTGTTTTCTTTGCCAATTGAAAAGGTTTATAATAAAATTGACCAGATCTCCTTGGAGGAGGTGGACCGTTTGGCCAGGCAGTCTCACAGTGTAGTGATTAGGTAAGCTTTTTAAACAAATTTACATCTCCCATTGCTCAGTTCAAATGAATACACTATGCTATGCAGAAATTAAAGTCTTCTGTTTACTAGCTTGCTGAATGACTGCAAACATTATGGTTAGGACTCACTGGACTGCTGTAAGAAATAGTGAAACGCTGCTTTACCCTGCACAGAAATCCCTAACTTTACTACGATGGTTCCTGGTCACCTATTGATGTCTTAATTAGCTGGTCATTGTTTTGTTGGGCTTAGATACTGATGTCAGCAGCTGTTTCATTTTGGAGGATCATCGGACACATCTCTAATCCTGTCCTCATATAAAGTATTCATTGATGTGCATTCAATGATAACAGTTACCAGCAGAAAATCTTGATATTTAACTTGCTTTAAAAGAAAACAAAAAATGGAAATTCGATTACTGAGAACATTGTAATCTCCCATCGGAATCCTGAGAGTGGGATGGAGTATTCAAGTGGCAAATGACTGGAAGCTCAGCATCACAAGTGGAAGCAGAATAGGAATGTTCACTGTTCAGTAAAGTGAGCACACAATCGCTTCTGTCTGACAAACAAGAAACTGCATTGTAGGCAAGGACATTAAGTCAGACGAAGTACAACTTGTCACGTTACACCTGGAAGAATTAGTTCAGGCCCTAGAAAGAGGTGGAAGGGAGGTGATGCATCTTTCCTATGTTTCATAGGCAAGTGCTGATGGATGAAAAGTGGTGTTAGGACTGCTGGATGTATGAGCCAGAGCCACGCAGAGAATAATCCTTTCAGAATGCAAGGAGAGGATACATGTTTTGTGGTAGGTTTGTGATATAGAAGTGACTAATGAAGATCAATTGAGTTGTTAGCCATTGAATGTTGATACTATTTTTAAAATTATTTTATAATGGTTGATATTTTAAAACAGGGGGCCAACAACTAATCCTAGGTTCCTTTCTGTCTTCCCCAGCTAATTCAGTTGCATTGATTTGTACACAGTGAAGGAATTTGGGGGTCCAGTTACAGAACTTGCTAAATGCTTATGAATAGGAATAAAATTAAAATGGATAATGGAATACTGGCTTTAATAACATGGGGACTGTGATACAAAAGAATAATGATCGTGCTACAGATGTACAGATCACACTGCAACGCTCAGAACTCCGGAGAACGGAAGAGGAATACCTGCACAAAGTATTTACTGTCATCAGATACCCAAGAAGTTTAGTCCACCGATGCTTACAAAACAATTGACAGTCAGAGGACACAATACAACAAAAGACACTAGTAGCTCTACCCTACATCAAAAATATATTGGAAATGACAGCCAGACTCCTTAGTCTGCATAGGATCATGATTGCACACAAACCTACATCAACACTGCATCAAATGCTATCAAAGACTCAAGACCCCATAACGACAGTAAACAGGACTAACGTGATCTACAGAATCTCATGCAGCAATAGCAATAGACATTACCTCGGATAAACAGGTAGGAAACTGATGATCAGGATACACAAATGCCAGCTGGCAGTAAAAAGACACAACCAATATTCATTTACCTGGATACACACCGATAATGAAGGCCATCAGTTCGACTGGGACAAGCAAGCAATAGACATGCAAGGGAATTTCTGGAGGCCTGGTTCTCAACATGGGACTCCATTAACAAACACAGAAATAGGACCCATATGCAGACCGCTGCTGAAAAACAGAACCGGAAGTGACAAGACCCACCACACCAGAGGATCATATAAATTTGGAATGGAGCAGAACATCAATGTTTCGATTCGAGGTCGTACTGATGATGTTGCCTCAAATGGTAATGAAACGTCTGCACACCACGGAACAACTGGCTGAGCGAGCAAACGAACAACCGCATCCACAACCCAAGCTACAAATTTTCACTAAGACCTTAATAAAGATGTACAGACTTTTTAGTTCAGTGCTATCTGGAATATTGCATTCAGTTTTGGTTACTGCATTTCAGCAAAGATATTTTGGCCTTGGAGGGGCCACGGTGCAGATTTGTCAGAATGATATTAGTGCTCAAAGGCTAATGCTTGAAAACAGGTTACATTGGCATGGCTTGTATTTCTTTGAATATAAAAGCTTAAGGGGTGTATTGATTGAGGTTTTCAAGATAATTAAAATGAATAATGGGATGAAAAATGAGAACCTATTTTTACTGGTGGGGATTAGAACAAGAGGCATAATTTTAAAATTAACGCTAATCTGTTAATGGGTAATGTCAGAAAGTACTTACTCATTCAAAGAGTAGTGGAAATCTGGAGACCTCTCCCAAAAATAGTTGTCAAGGCTAAGGTCAGTTGAATACTTTAAATTCAGGCTTACAGATTCTGTTAAGCAACATTATTAAGGGCTAGGGAAATAAAGTAGATGAATCAAGATACAGATGTAGATCAGCTCTGATCTGTTTGAGCAGTTTTGAGGCTGTAAATGGCCTCTTCGTGGACCCGTGTTCAATACTTTTGGCTGTTATGAAATACTTATAATATGGAATTTCACATTTCTACATATGTGGCTTCCCAATGATATAACACTTAAAATGTCTTTTACTAGATTCTCTTGTTCCAAGACTTGCAGTTCTGGACGTTGCTAAGAGGTTTTGCATGTAGTTGCTTTCAGTGTCTCGGTCAGTTTGAAGATGAGAAATGAAAAGTTCACACAGTGGTCCAAATGAAAGTTTTTCTCCTTTACAATTCATGAGCCTGCCAGGATGTTTATTGTTTATTTCTAATGCGTCTGTCTCTCTAGCTGTGAAATGAAGCTGAATTTGGATTGTCTGCTTGATACGCTGTGGGACTACCTTGCACTTATCTGCATCTACACAAAAAAGAGAGGAGGTAAGAGAAGATTTGACACTAAGTTACTCGTGTTGTAAAATTGTGTGCACGTTTCAAACATGTTGTGAAATTTTGTTTTGAACAGAAAGACCAGATTTTTCAGGCGCTATAATTATGAGAAGATCAGCTTCAGTTGAACATGTGGTAAGATGAAGCATCTTTCTGGTAAATCTTCTCTTTGATTCAGGTTATAGCAATCTTCTGTCATTCTACTTAAAGTCAACTAACTCAGCATAAATCACAAATTGAGTTTGTGATCGTTGTGGTCAGTGAATGAGCCTGTCACTGTCTTTACCCACTTGGCACCTTGTCTTTATAACCACTTTCTCAGTCTATCCTGCCATCTTCAACAATTTGTGCATATGTTGCCCAAGATATTCTGTTTTATTTTGTCTCTCCTTGCTTTCCCTACCAAAATGTATCACTTTACACTTTTCTGAATTCAATTTCATCTGCACATCTCCACCCATTCCACCTGTCTGTCTCTCTGCCTTCTTGAAGTCTATCTTTGTCCTTATCATAGTTTGGAATATTTCCAAATTTTGTCATCGAGAAGTTTTGAAATTATGTGCTGCAC